GTCTGGGAAGGGGGGACAAACTTTTTTTTAATGCCTTGCATAGCAAGACTTATTCAATCCTCTCTCTCCTTGCTGACTTCTCAGATTGGTGGCAGGATACTATGGGATGGATGAGGAAGAAGAAAACAAATATGTGTCCCAGCTGAAGGAGGTCTATAACAGTTGTGATACCACTGGGACTGGCTACCTGGACAAGGAGGAGCTGACGGAGCTATGCCACAAGCTTCATCTGGAGCGGCAGCTGCCAATACTTCTGCAAACCCTGCTGGGGAGTGATCACTTGGCCCGGGTGAGCAGCTGTGCCTTCAGAGATCAATGTCAGTTTTAGGACAGTGCAAAAGCACTACCCCAAGGTAGCTGGAGATCACCAGTCGGATCCTCAGTGGAGCTGTGCTGACTTGCGCTGGCTGTGGGTCTGGCCCCATGATTCTCTAACTGCTGAAGAGTATTTGGTAGTGAAGTTTAGGAAACCTTCTGCAGCCTGCAACACATGTGAGCAGTATGTCCAGGCTGACCATGTGTCACTCACCTGCTGTTTCCAAACACCAGGCTTAGTTGGGCCCTGGATGGTTTGAGGGATCTACACCAATGCAGCACCCTAATCTTTGTGCCTTGGACTGCAAGCACCCAGCCCAGGAAAGTTTTAAAGAGAAGGATTCCTGCTGAGCACTCGCCTGTGCCGTGTTGCTTGGCTACCTGGGATGGGGGGTGGAACTTGGCCAGCTCCAGCAGATTCTGCTACTGGGTTTTTTTGACACCCAACCCCAGTGTTTGAATGTTTGCATCTCTGAGTGTGGACAATTTGATTCCACAGGACCCCCACCTCTGTCTCCCCCCCCCACCTCCCCAGCGACAAGAGTTTTCTGCCCTTTGCTTTGGATCTTAACTGAATCCCTGCCTCTCTCCTTGCCCCCCCACCCCTCACCCCCCTGGTGAGCTATTGCATCTGGGGTCTGTTTAGCCCAGGACTTTGTCTGGCGGGGATAGGAGAGGGGAGAGGAAGGAGAGCCTGGGCTCCCTCTCTCTCC